ATTGGCTTTGAAATTGCAGTTCAGATGACAAAACTCTTTCCTGTATTTACACTTTGGATGAAATTGTTTCACCCTCAAACTCTTGTTTAAAAGATATTTATCTTTTTCATGAGGATGGCTTCCCTTTGGAGTGCTGTTGCTACATGGACATTACAGCATTCACAGTGCTTCATACATATGTGCATGTGCATATTTATACATATATATTTTCCCCCTCTCAAGTGGAAGGAAGGGATGGGGGATGGAAACTTTAATACATCTTTATTATTATTATTATATAGAAGATTGCATATTCCTTGGACTTTGAAAAGGAAATTCTTTCCAGCTATTTAGCTTGGCAAGTCTAGAAAAAAGGCACACAGAATCTAATGAAAGGATTTTTTAAGGAAGGAAAGGATTTTGTGAAATGGATTTTAATAAAGGCACTTAGGAAATATAACTCAATCTAAAATATATTCTTAAGAATATACTTCCTGCCTATTTATTCTATTTTAAAACTGTGTAGTGTTTTCCATTTTTACACATAGACACGTGCAATTTCCCGGTTGGGGAATGATATCAAGAGGCTGTTCTGAAGTCAAACAGGTTTAGGGAAAGCTTTTATTGTAAAATAAAACACAGTTACAGTAAATCATTTTTCTTTCTTTTTACTCTTTTTATTTTGCACTATAAACAACAACAACCAGTGACATAGTGCTTTTCTTCACATTCATATGGATTTTAGGGAATTATTGCCTTTTCCCTTGGAGAAATAACCCACAGACGAAAAAGAAGTACCACATTACAAAATCTGCAAATCCCAGAAGTCTGCAGCCTGAAGACAAGCACATAGCTTAGTTGGATTATAAGGCTAAAACTCACATAGACCAAAAAATAGAAATTTTCCAGATATTCCAGAAGCTCTTCACATGTGTTCCTTTCCTCTCCAAAAATAATCACTCTCTTGACTCTTCGAGTAATCACTTCTCTGTTTCTTTATGATTTTGTTACCCACAGGTACATTCTTAGCACTGCCGTTTATTCTTACTCACTCTTAAAATTTTGATAAGTTTAAAATTCTCTTTTGATCCACTGGTTTTCCTTCCATCCCTTGCTTCTGCATATAATTTATCTGTTAAAGATCTTTGGTGGTTTGACCTGTAGAATGTCCAACTTATCTGGATTTTGCTGATTGGTTACTTACGGTGCTGTTCAGCATGTTTCTCTGTCCTCTCTGTAATCTGCAAATCAGAAGCTGGATCCAGAGACCAATAAAACTTTGACTCAGTCATTTTGGCAGGACTGCAGGAAGTGGCATGTTATTTCATTAGATAGCATATGTCTGGTTGTCTCTCTCTCTATTATGTCAACGGCCATTGAGGCTCATTGCCTAGACCTATTAATTTGTTGGAGATTGAGAATTGGTGACATGCTAACTTAACATTTTATTTTACTTTATAGTTGGAGTAATTTATAAAGGGACTCTTCCCTCACTTATTATTTGGTTATGCAGTTGCATAGTTTATATATAAAAGCTAGGACAAATGGTTTACTCTTTTTCTTTACCTGTTTTCAACATAATGAATTGGTTCTTTATGATCCTCAAAAGTGCCTACTTTGATTTTTTAAAAACATATTATTTGGGACCCCTGGGTAGCTCACTTGGTTAAGCATCTGACTCTTGAGTTTAGCTCAGGTCATGATGTCATGGTTCGTGGGTTCCAGCCCTGTGTCTGGGCTCTGAGCTGGCAGTGCAGAGCCTGCTTGGGATTCTCTCCCTCCCTCTCTCTGTCTGTCCCTCCCCCACTCATTCCTCTCCAAAGAAATAAATAAACTTTTAAAAAATGTAGAAAACAGAAAATATATCATTATGACTCATGGATTTAAATATATTTAATTGGTTTAAATATATTACATTTCTTATTTTTATTCAAACTTAAGTTGTTCCATTTTTGGCCACTAGAAATTTCTTAGCATTGGCAACTGAATCCTTTTGACATGACCTGATTAGTCTTTGACAGCATCTTTTCTCTTTGGTAGGACAAAATATCCTAGGTTCATCTTGCATAGTTCTTACCTCAAACTTGGAATTAGCTATTTCTCCAAGAAACCGTGGTTTCTTATAATAGAAAATTATATTTGAAGATCACAATCTGGGCACTACAGATGCTTATTGCAACTAGATTAGTCATATTTCTAGACATTTTGGTGGGTTTATATATTTAAATATAAAGTAGGGGCACCCGGGTGGCTCAGTCAGTTAAGCGTCCAACTTCAGCTCAGGTCATGATCTCACAGTTAATGGGTTCAAGCCCTGTGTCGGGCTCTGTGTTGACAGCTCAGAGCCTGGAGCCTGCTTTAGATTCTGTGTCTCCCTCTCTCTCTGCCCCTCTCTTGTTTGCATTCTGTCTCTTTGTCTCTCAAAAATAATATATAAATTAAAATTTTAAAAAAATAGCTTATAAATTCATAATAGTGTTTCCAATTCAAATTCAGAGTTGCAAGATTTTTACTTAATTTCTTCCATATCATATATGTGTCTCCTTTCTTTCATACCAAAAGCCTTGGTCCTCAAGGACACAGTGAATGAGTGAACTGAAATATTCCATCATTATTCATTTTCTTTATCCCACATTACATAACAATGCATGCAATAGTCAGGATAACAGTACTAATACTGCCACTACAAATTATAATTACCAAAGGCAGTTTTTAAAAAATTTTTTTAATGTTTTATTTATTTCTGAGGGAGAGAGAGAGACAGAATGAACAGGGGAGGGTCAGAGAGAGAGGAAGATACAGAATCTGAAACAGGTTCCAGGCTCTGAGGTAGCTGTCAGCACAGAACCCGATGCAGGGCTCGAACCCATGAATCATGAGATCATGACCTGAGCTGAAGTCGGACGTTTAACCAACTGAACCACCCAGGCACCCCAGGAGTTGTTTTTTTTTTTTTTTTTTTAACTGAAGCTTCACTTTCACTTAAGGTATAGAAAGTCACAAGGGAACATCACTCACACCTAAACAACAACAAAAAGCCATATAACCTACAAAGTCATGTTTTTTAGTCCAATAGGGATCTGAGGTTTCAACACAACCAGATAAGCTGAATTTCAAACATTAGAAACCCCTCTGAGAAGATATGAGACACACAAAATATTTTACCTTTGATAGAATGCAGGAGGAAGAGGTAATAGCCCTAGCAGCAGGTAAGAGCAGCTAAAATTGTAACAACTTCTTAAATGTCAGGCGTGGGCTAGCATGACAATGTAGGAGTCTCAGACACAGGGGAGTCCTATATGTACTTGGCAGCTCTTTACATTAGTCTGCACTGAATGCTTATGAGAATGATCAGGGACAGGAAAGGAATCTGAGAGTAAGATTTCACTCTTCCTCAGTGAGGATGAGTAGGCTCTGCCAAAGTATGAAGGTGGAGCAGGACTACTTGGGATAGCCTCTCCATACGCGGGACCCTGATCAGCAGTCACCATGAGACAAGGGGAGAACTGCACCCCTGCTTCAAGGCAAAGGTTGGCTGCAACAGGAGAAGGGGTAGAAAACAAGCCCTCATTGGCAGCACTGAAATTAGGAAAACCCTTCTGTTGCTGGAAAAGGGACAAGAAAACTCACCTACACCCAGGGTGCTACAATGATGAAAAGCAGAAGTCTGTTGTCACTGGAGATGGACAGGAAAATCACTCTCATCCAAGAACGTCTACCATCACAAGGTAAAGTTTGAATGAGAGGTGGGAGTTGCAGGAATATTGAAAAAGGCAAACTTTTAAAAGCCCATTTTTTACACCATTTATATTTAGTGTAAATATAATTAAATTTAAACTTACCACTTATAATATGTTATTCTACTTTATTCTATTGTAAAATGTGGCCCAAATATCTGAGGGTAATCTATGCTTTTGCTTGATAAGTTAATAACTATTTTTAGCTGGATATCTTAGGGATTTTTATCTTTTTATTTCAAATCTAGTAATATTTCTTGTTATTGCTAAGTATGTATTAATATCTTCTTTTAATATGAGGCACACAATGCTCTCTTTCAATATGAAGTTTCAATTGTTATTGCATTTCAGTAAACTTTTTTTGAATTACAGTTTTTAGAATTTGTTCTGTTCCCTTGTTTTGGTTTTCTTCCCATGGGCACTCTAGTTATTCATATATTGGAGCTTCTTTAGTATCTTCAATATTTGTCATGTTCTTTGGAATACTTTCAGCTCTTTCTTCATTTATTTTTAACTTTAAAAAAGTTGCTCTTTTCACCTTCTATTTCTCTTGAAGCATCGTTTGTTCTGTTTCCTTGTCCTATGCTCCTTATAGTTCAGTCTTCTTTTCTAAAATAATTTGTTCTCTTATTTTGAATTACTTCTTCAGTGCTACTTCTGTTTTTTTCTTTTTCTTTTTTTTTTTAAATTTATTTCTAGGAGAGAGAGAGAGAGAGAGAGAGAGAGAGAGACAGCGTGAGCAGGGGAGGGTCAGAGAGAGAGGGAGTCACAGACCTTGAAACAGGCTCCAGGCTCTGAGCTGGCAGTCATCACAGAGCCCGACGCGGGGCTCGAACCCACGAACCGCGAGATCATGACCTAAGCGAAAGTCGGAGGCTTAACCGACTAAGCCACCCAGGCGCCCCAACGTCTGTTTTTTTCTAATTATGATTTATTTTGTTCATCTTCTCTTGTGTCATTTTCTTAAGGTCTTTTATTCATTTTGAAATAATAGATTACAGTTTTAATCTGTTTTATGAATATATCTTCCTAGCATGTTTTCATTTTCCACTTTACTTATGGCTTAGTCTTCTTTTTCTTAAAATAACTTTTCATGGAGCTTGACCTCTATAGTTTTCTACTGCTCATTTTTATGTGAAATTGATTTTTACTACTTTTTAGAGGAAGGCAGATTTCTTCAGATAACATTTTTAACTTCACAGAGATCACTCTGTGGTTTTTAATGTAGTGTTAAAAATATAAAGTTTTTCTTTCTGAAATTTCTTGTTTCTTTCCCCTTTCTCTTCCATTTTTATCTGAACCTTCCTTTTCCTCATCACTATTGTCTCTGATGGGCTAGATTTTGATTCCACTCCCAGCATTTTTCCTCAGTGTGGGGTCTTGTCCTGAAATGGAGAAATGACTGTCTGTTTACAACATTCATAAGGGCTAGACTGTCCTAGGATTTTTAGTTCTTACTATGGCCCTCTTACACTTACCCCATTCCAAAGGGCAAACTACTGGAACATCTATTTCAGCTGCTGCTCTCACATCACTTCTCTGTGTCGCTCAATGAACACCTATTGTCTAGTCGGGGTTCTGCTCTTCTTAGGTGCTTGAATTATCCTATTACTTCCTCTGCTCTTCCAGTTCAACTGTCAAGCCAATGAAGATCTCATAGTTCCATTGGCGTTTTTTCATCACCCACTATATTTTCAGGTATGAAGGTATACCTTGACACCTTATTTTTGTACATGGAGTCCATGGCTATTGATTCATATCTGGCAGCTTTGTGGAAATTTGAGATCTGAAAACTATACATCCAATGCTACCACCTTTTTTTCATAATTCCTTGCCAATTTATTAGTTTTTAAATTAATTTATTTTTTAACTTATATCCAAGTTAGTTAGCATATAGTGCAACAATGGTTTCAGGAGTAGATTCCTTAATGCCTCTTACCCATTTAGCCCATTCCCCCTCCTACAATCCCTCCAGTAACCTTCTGTTTGTTCTCCATATTTAAGGGTCTCTTGTGTTTTGTCCCCTTCCCCGTTTTTATATTATTTTTGCTTCCCTTCCCTTATGTTCATCTGTTTTGTATCTTAAAGTCCTCATATGAGTGTTGTCTTGCCCATTTATTCTTAAATAGCTGCTGAATAATTCTCTGAAAACTTTTGTCTTTATTGAACATGTATGATTGAACTACAACCTCCTCTTTTTCCAACTAGTACACAAGTACTTCTGGGAGGAACTCATTCATTTATTAGACATTCCCTGAATCCCTACCATTGTGCACTAGGCACTGCAGACACAAAATTGAACATGACATAGTGAGGTCACAGTTTAGGGGTGTCAGCTGTGAAATGGTGACTTGCATAAAAGGAAGGAGCAAAAAAAGTGTTTGAAAGGTGTGTTTATCATAGACCTATGGACCTGGAATTTCTGTGAAGAACAGAACAGGCTCTTACATTCCTCTTTTGCTTATTTGTTTATCATCACTGTTCTCTTGACCATAATAATGTACAGGTGCAGAGGACTAATCAGCATAAAAAGTGCTTTCATATTCTCTCATTTGATTTTCACAGTAACCCTAGGACATACTATTATTATAGATGAGAAAGTAGAGGTTCAAAGAGAAGAAGTGACTTGTTCAGGGCCATTCTACTCAGTAAGCGACAGAGGCAGGACCTAAACTTTGCTAAAACTGATTCAAAATTTCTTTGCTCCCTAGCCTGATACCTCCATTGTTTTTCAGAGTTAATTTGAAGATATTTGCAGTGGGCCTCAGCCCACAAACAACTTTCGTAAAGTTCATGATGACAGACACTAAGGATTGGCTAATCCAACATCCATCTCCATCTCTTTCTCTCTCGTCTGCCTCCACGACAGAGACTGGAATAGGTAAAATCTCCCTTTCCAGTCTCCTGTATATAAAGGTGGCCTTGTGACACCACTCTGGCCATGAGATAGAAGTCTTTTCAGTGCTTCAGGGAAATGTCTTGCTTTCCTGATAAAAAGGACACATGTGGCATGTGGCTGTTCTTACCTTCTCATTCCTTACTCTTCATTTGGATGGAGATTTTGATGTTTTGTGCCAGGGCAGCCATCTTACAACCATGAGGAAGAGACCAAAAATATCCAGAGATATGGGCCCTGAATCAAGGTTTCTGCCTGAGAAAATATGAAAACAATGACAAAATACCCCTCTATATGTTTAATCCACCATTAGTTAAGTATACTGACATTAACAGCCAGAAGTATTCCCAATACATTTGCATTTGATGAAAATAGGGACATCATACACTTTCAAAACTTTCCTTATTCTAAGCAGTAGGAAATGGTTAAAAGCATTTTCCTAACTATGTAAAGGAATTCAGATCCAACTCAAATTCTGCTTTAGATGGACCCCCTTTTTGAAAATCCTGCAATGTTTGACTTTATACTGAGCGTTGCTCAAGGCAGACTAGTGGCTACTGTATTTGAGCAGTCAACATTCACGCAGTTTCTGTTTACTAAAGCATTAGCAGAAACATATACTGAAATATATACCACCACATAATAGATCCCAGATGTGTTATTATATTTTTAAAGAGAGAAAAAGGATAGTTAGAAGAATAAGTAACCACAGAACATTTTCTGTCAATTTGATTGGGCTTGGTGGTAACTCATTGGAGCAAAAACAAACCAAACTTAAAATGCAGTGGGATTAAAATTTGGTTCACTCTGTTTAAATTTGACAAATAATCACCAAGTCTTCCTCAGAACCAGATTACCTGTGTTATCTCCTCTCAACAGCCTCATGCCTTCCTGGTTGTTATTCCAGTTCTAAAGACAATTAAAGGAAGGTTAAGGGGATGCACAGCTCCAGCCACGGAGGAGCAGAACTGGGATTCACTCCCAGCCTGTTTTACTTTAAAGTCCACATGATTACTGTTTCAAATATTTCAAAAGCAATTATGATGTCTATAAACAGAAAGGGGAAAAGCATTATTTTTAAAAAACAAAGACCATTCTGGGGGAGGGAGAAAGCTTTCCCTGGATGGCTTCAGGAAGTGGGCCTGTGACATTTGGTAAGTAGACATTACCAGAAGGAAGGCTTTGATTCCACTAGCATCATCCTGAAAATCTCTATTTCCTGCCAGCTGCGTTATGACACAACATGGCAGGTGTGTCTCTAGATGACATAAATAAAAATAAGATTCTTATGTATCCTGGAAGGAAAAAATCTCTCTCCAGGGAGATGGAATGGGGTACATGCATGCAAGTGATTACACATCTATCTTTGTTGGTATTCCCTGGTTTGGGGCTGTGTTCTAAATGATTGAGGTTGCCAGGTAATCCATTTCTACATAATGCAGTGAGCAGAAAGAGAGACAAGTGTCCAACCAGAGCTATCTTGTTAACCATCCCTCAAGCTCTATAGATAGTGTGGATTCAAGAGCTATAAAGGACATGCCAAAGGGGTAGCCATGACAGAAACGTAACCTCAAAGCCTTCTGTGATCTTCCATGTACCAGACTGAGACAGATATGTACCTGCCTCATCCCTTGGACATTTTTCTCTTTTTAGAGATTCCTACAGGACTCTTTGGATTTGGGGTGTGAATGTTACCTATCCAATGGACTTTGCTTCTGGGCTCTGTAAAAAGGACTTGTTGAATAGGTAGAATAATAGATGCTTTATGATTGCTATACATCTTAAAGCAAGAGAGTAGCTGCTGGCAAATTCTCTAGGTGCTAGAGTGTGGATAGTGCATAAAAGTTAATGCAAGTTGATACCCTCCCTATACTCCATACCTGGGATAGCTAGGTCCCACAGAGAAGGAACCCCAGGAGCTTGAAAGTTACTCATTTAGCTCTCCATTAAATATTTAAAACATCCCACATAGCTCTCAGGAGGCTTGGGGAGGCTTACAGCGGTAGATGGAAGGAGGGTATAAATTACTTTCACCTGGATGGGCTTGATGCCAAGGCATCCTAAATTTTCAGCCACACAGGGATGGAGGAGACTAAGGAAAATCCACTCCATAAATCCAGTGTGGAGTGGAGATACTAACCTACTACAAAAGGCCAACCTCTGGAGGACACTCAGGACTTGCAGATTACTGTATAATGATCTTACCTAAACTCTGGGCTTGTCAACGTGGACATTGCCCAAAAGAAGGGCGATGAAGTTGAAGTAAAACCCTGTTCTTTGCTCAGGAGTCACAGAGATGGGGCCCAGACTCTCCACTAGAAATTATACTGACAGATACTTAGAAGAGGGATTGTCAGAGCACCTCGGTGGCTGTCAGTTGAGTATCTGACTCTTGATTTCAGCTCAGGTCATGATCTTACCATTATGGGATCAAACCTCATATTGGGCTCCATACCAAGAATTGAGCCTGCTTGGGATTCTCTCTCAATCTCTGTCTTCTCTCTCTCTCTCTCTCTCTCTCAAAATAAATAAGTAAACATTTTTAAAAGAAGAAGAAGAAGAAGAAGAAGAAGAAGCAGGATTGTTAAAGCAGAATCCAGCCCCCAGGGAGGGCAGAGTTGGTCAGCAGAGCAGGGTCCTGCTAAGGTGGCTGGAGTAGCTGGAAACTAGTACAAAAGCTCAGGACTAGTGAGGACATTGTGACAGAAGACAATCCTATGGCCTGGGCCCAGCTGGAGACTGGGAGAACTGAGATTTGAGCATCTAGGCTTCCTCCCAGCAGAGAAGTCCCTGGTCTACTCAGCCACCTGGAGAATCACAGGGTCTCTGTTGGAGCTAAGTGGTCATGGCCACACCCCCAAATCTTGGGGCTGGGAGCCTGACTCAATTCTAAACCCTACAAGGGGTGAGGTGGATGATATTGATGCAGCCAGTTATTAAAGGAATTGGCTCATGAGCCACCTGTTCTGCACGCCTCCTCAAGAGTTCATCTCCATCAAATATAATGGGCCTCAGACACCTGCACACATTTCATGGCCTCTTTTCCCATCAACTTGCTTCAAGCTGCCTTACATTCCGCTCTTCCTACCCTCTGCTTTGCTGATTCATCTCCCGGTGGTACCTCATTTCATCCTGCAGACTCAGTGCCTGGTACCACTCTCCAGTTGTGATTTTGGCTTTCTCTTCATCACAAGTCACTGTCAGCCTGGCTGACATCCCAGGGGACCCTGATGATCTTACTCCTCAGCACAGAGCTCCAGGTGCAGCCACTCTGCTGGGTGTGCCCAGGCCCACGTTTGAGACCCACACAGGTGGGTGACATCCATGAGCCACCATCGAGCTACCGGAGGAGAGAGAGAGGGGATGAGGTGATAAGGAAGGGGTTGGACTTCCAAACTCTTCAGAGGCTCACAACCTATTTTAGCAAAATGCTGATGTTTCACTTTTTTGAAGGTTCCTGAAGTTATGGAATGTTGTTGGTGTTGGAGCCAGAAGGGGTCAAATAAACAGACTTTATAATAAAGTCAAGCAGGGGGAACCACAAAGGACAGTGAATTCCCACAAGAAACTAGCAACAGTAAGTCTCTGCCATCATTCCTAGGCAAGGAGAGTATGTTTCCTTGACCATGGAAACAAAAAAGGCTGCGGGGGCGCCTGGGTGGCTCAGTCGGTTAAGCATCTGACTTCCGCTCAGGTCATGATCTCATGACTCGTGAATTCGAACCCTGCATCAGGCTTTGTGCTGACAGTTCAGAGCCTGGAGCCTGCTTCAGATTCTGTGTTTCCCCTTCTGCTCCTCCCCTGCTCATGCTCTCTCTCACTCTCACTCTCAAAAGTAAATAAACATTAAAACATTTTTTAAACAAAAACAAAAAGTCTGGGAAGAGAAGGAAACCCTTAGGAGGATGTGGCCAGCCCCAGCTTACTTGATGGGGAGGATGCTGGGGGAAATGCCCTGACCTCCTTCTCCTCTCACATTTTCTGCTGGTGCTTCCCTTTAGCCAAATTCAACAGGAAGCCAGGGGAAAAGGAAGGTTTTTGGTGTCAGCCACCCAGAGCAGGGTGGAAAAGAGGGACAGGGGTCTCCTGCAAGAAGGGACTGGTGAGCCAGGGAGCTAAAAAGGGGATACTGCCACCTGTCAGCCTATACCCATGGCCCCCTAACTGAGGAGCTCCTCAACTGAGCAAACAAAGAGAGGGAAATGATCTTAGAACTGTCCAGTCTCAAAAGGTGGGTCAAAGAAGACTCATTCTTGCTTCACAAAATGCGCTATCACTGTCAGCATCAGATATAATTGTATATACTCCCAGCTGCCTGGGGGATAAGCCAGGCTCTGGCTTATCTAAATTCAAGTGTCCACTTTGAACTTGGCTCTGTGCTCTAATGGATGTCCTTGGAGTCATTGCCCTTTAAAAGAATCAAGAGCCACATGCCCTAGAGACACGTGAGGTATGTGAGTAAGGTCAGTGAGTAAGGGAATTACACTAATAACATGTATAGCCCCTCACCAGGTAACAAGCACTGTGAATGCAAGTCTTTCAAGCTGTTCTCCCTCAAAGTAGTAATTCTGAGCTGCTGTGATTGGTGGGCCACATTATTGCCTGTACAATTCTCCAGGTAGACGGTGATTTTCTATCCTCAGTAGGGGTTCTGACAGATAGGGGAGGCACATCACTGTCTCATCCTGTGCTATACGTGTTGAAAAGATGTGAAGCTGGATGTAGCCAGACCCTCATGGGATGGGCGGATGAGACTCCTCACAAGGTTTTCTTGAGTTGGTTCTTGATAGAACCTTGGACTTCTGTGACAAGATAATGAGAACCTTGGCTCTGCCCAGGGCCAGATTTTCTGCATGCTGGTACTGTGTTCCTGTGAATGAACAGAGGAAGGAACACTAACAACAGAGCCCGCATGACTGTCCGAAATGACTCAGTGTTGTTCATAATGCCCTCCTCGCTGGAAGCCAGTCTACAGACACCATATAAAAAATGTATAAAATATACCTTTCTGTTGCATTTCTGGGCCTCAGCGACTAGACTATAGGCCTTACTTCCTACCAATCACTGGGAGTCTATGTGCTCAGATTTGATTTATTTATTTTCCAACCAATTGCTCCATAACTGTATTCTACCCCCGCTCCTAGTCCGTTCAGGTTGATTTGCTTGGACCAGGGTCCTGGACTTGTGCTTCAGCCCTCCCTTAGATGCTGCTCCTTGACTGGTCCCACCCAAGCCCCAAAACCCACTTTGCCTCCCAAACCCTGGCCTCTGACTGTGGCTTGGGTCCCCACATGATCATGAAGGCACAGTCCCTACTAGTAGCAAAGACTTTTATGGAATCCAGGGCAAAGCATTACATAAACATGATTTTCTGTTATCCCACGGTAACTCTGTCAAGTGAGTAGGAGTTCTTATTCTCACTTTCAGGTGCTCAAAAAAGGTTAAAGTAACCTACCCAAGGCCATGTGGCTATTAAGCAGCAAAAGCAGAATTCAAGTTCATCTCTGTGTCGGAAGCACAGTACCATACTGCTTCTGAACTTGGAAAACTGGCAGGACCCCCAGGGAAGGGTTTGGGAAGGAGCTGCTCCAAGTGAAGACAATCCGCTTCCATCTGATAAAGACTGATTTTCTCTTTCTCCTAATTGTTGCAGCATAGAAATAATGGATAAGGGTAGTATGTCTCATTGTGGGCTGTCAGAAAATTTGTAATGGATGCCGTGTATTCATTTTTGTCCTCTGCTTGCTAGACCAAAGGAGATGAAGGAATCTGCACCATCTGGTGTTTCGGGGTCCTAGACAATCCATTTTGGCATGGAAACAAAGGTGGCCCAGAGTTAGAACAAAGCATCCTCAGATAAAATGAGCTCTCTGTGCTGTTACACACAGACACACCTCTTGACGTATTTGCTGGTTATAGTTGCACATAGAGCATTAACATTTGTCACCCCGAGGAACATGGGAACATCCACTCGACTTCCTTCCTAAGCTGCACATGTGTGCCTGCTTGCAGATTGTGGCAGAGGGTCAGTGGCTTCCTCCACTTGGCCTGTCTGCTCAGCCACGGGCTTGTCTATGTGGAGGTGGGTTGCGGAATATCCTCCCACAGGAAGGCACTGACTTAGGAATTGACCCCCTGTGTCCTGGTGCCATTGGCAACCATCCCACAGGGCCCTCCCATGGTCCCTCCGCATCCCCATAAGCTGCTCAGGGAGAAGAAGCAAAGTGCTCCTAATGTCCCTCAGGGCCTCCCAGTCATTTCTGAAAACTCTGGGGTGGCCCCAAAGTAAAAGCAGTTCTAACCATGAGAGTAGCCGAGGCCGGCAGCGTGTCTTTGAGCCTGGGAGCTGTACCGGGGGGTTATTTTTATAACCCTCAATGTTGCTTCAGGGACCAAGGCTTGAAAGTAGCTTAAGAACATAGATGAAACAAATTTGCAAGCCTCAGCTGAAATCTTGAAGCAGGTGATCTAACATCTGGAGTAACTAACTGCCAGGACAAACTAAGTGCTTTCTCATCCTTTTTAAAACCATGTTGTCAGTCTGAAAGAGGAAGAGGAAACCAACCAAGTTTTGATGACGCTTATAAGTCAGTTTCCTGCCTTCCTTCTCAGATAGTTCTGCTGACCCCTTCGGTAGCTACTTTTAGAAACTTGGCTATAAATATGAACAGCAATAATGATACTGCTTGGTATTTACATCAGAACTGACTCTCAGCAGCGATCACCACATGCTTTTTTTCTCCTCCCTGACTTGTGTTGGTATGAGTACTGGCCAGAGACCTACTCTACTATTTGGTGACTTGAATTCCCCTTCCCCATATCTAGAAGTGCACCACTTGCTCTCCAAGCACTCTCTCTTCTCCTCTCTGCACTGCCTCTTAATCCTCTGTTCCCCCTCCCTACCTGCTGCCCCACCCACCCAAGTCCAAAGTCATGGTCAGGCAGATGGAGTGTAGGACTCATGAAGGTAGGAGGTGTTAGAAGGAGGGCGCTGTGATCTGGGTAGTGAGTAAGAGAGAGTTCTTTTTTCTTTCCCTATCTGAAGTCCTGATTTTTTAAAAAAAACCTAAAAACCTAGATTTCACAGTAACCAGGTCCCAAATCTTTGTCTGTGAAATAAAAGACCTGAACGTTCTCTGAAGTGCCTGCAGCTCTGATGATGATCATCCCGTGACTCATTTTTGGAGCATCAAGATGGAAACCCATTATTTTCTTTGTCCCAAACGCTTCCCCACGACCACCAAACCTGCTATAAAATGAATACTTTGCCCCCAAAATAGTGTGTTTCTTTTTTCTATTATGAAAAGTTAACAAGAAAGACACTTCTGCCGTAATTCTACCCTGCTTTAGGCAGGAAGTCTGTGGAGATGTTTTGTCTTCACAACGATTGGGGGGATCCTACTGGCCTGTAGTGGGTGGGAGGTCAGGAATCCTTCAAATTCCACAAGGTTCAGGACAGTGCTTATGCCTGGCCTGTTAAAAGGTGCTTAACAAATATTTATTTATTGAATGAGCAGAACTATGGCTATAGTTCTCCAATGTAAGGACTCACTTCTGAGGGAAGTAACTCTCATCTCATCTGAAGACCTTCAAGTGGGTCGTGCACATATACAAGTAAGGCAATTTCCTCAAGTATGTTAATCTGGGGGGTGCCTGGGTGGCTCAGTCGGTTAAACGTCTGACTCTTGGTTTCAGCTCAGATCGTGATCTCATGGTTCGTGGGTTTGAGCCCCACACTGGGCTCTTCTCTGTCACCTCTCTCTGCCCCTCCCCTGCTCACTCTCCATCCCTCTCTCTCAAAATAAACAAATAAACATTTTTAAACTTGAAAAAGAAAAGCATGCCAATCTGGGAGCAATTCGTCATCCTTCTCTAAACTATAACCTCCTCAGGGGCAGGAACAATGATTCATATGGTGGTTATTAGGGCTGTTCACAAATATTTCTAGATTGCCTCCTTTTGGAATGGGATAGAATTCTACTTTTCCACCCCTTTTCATTGTTAGCCCTGATAAAATTACTTGCTTTGGACAATGAAATATGATTGGACGTGTGTCTTTTCTAGAGGGATGCTTGAGAGCCAGAGTGCAATCCACCATGTTTGTTTCCTCCCACTACAGAGGCCACGGATCTCACTAATAAGATGGGGTTCTGGGTAGTTGAGTGACTGGGATGAGTAGAATCCCTCCTAAGCTGTACTTGTATGTAGAATTCCAAGGTTCACCTCAGCAGGCTGATAACAGATTGTGAGCAAGGAATAATATATTGTTTTGGTAGGCCACCGAGATCTGAAGTTATCTGTTACCACAGCAGAAGTTGGCTTATTCTGAGTGCCATTGTCCAAGCTGATGTTTTTAAGGAAAACCAGTAAAAGCATGCCTCCTTCACCCAACATCCGAACAAAGTGTGAAATAAGACAAAAAGAAAAGCAGATGAAGGCCAAACTCTCAGCTCTATTATTAATTTAACCCAGCGAACACTGGACTGAAGCAATCTTCCCCACTAAGGGTGTGCTGGTGGTGAGGGACACTGGCTCAGCTAAGTCTCATAGTTTTTTTCTGAATGCATGTTTATGAGGGCTGCTGGAACAAGTACCACAGACTGTGTGGCTTCAAGAACCAAAAATTACATTCCTCACAGTTCTGGAAGCCAGAAGTGTCAATAGGCTTGGTTTCTTCTGAAGCTTCTCTCTTTGGCCCTTAGACGGCTGTCTTCTCTTACCTGTGTCTTCACATGGTCTTCCCTCTGTGTGTGTCTGTGTCCTGATCTCCTCTTCTTATAAATACACAAATCATATTGCATGAAGGCCCACTGCCAAAGACCACACTTAAACTTAATTGCCTCTATAAAGGTCCTATCTCCAAATAGTCACATTCTGAAGTACCGGGAGCTAGGACTTCGACAGATGAATTGGGGGTGGGGGGTGGGAGGTACAATTCAGTTCATAACAGTAGGATTTGCAACTGGCAGTGCGACTCCAAAGAACCAAAATGGTGGATGTGAGACAAATATGTCCCATTATAGTCTTTGGAAATGGCACCCCTTGCAAATTGACCGATGGCCTGGCCTCCAGCCTCTCCAAGCAGGAGAGGGTGAAGGGTTGAAGAAACAGCAACCATTTCACACCAGCTATACTCTCTCCCTGTGGAGGAGACACTGAGAACAAGAGAAAATATCCCCCTCCTAACACTCCATTTCTGGTTCAGCCCTGTATCCTCACCACCCAACACAGGTCCTGGTTCATGGAAGATACTCACAAGACAAAACAGTTTCTTTTGTGATATTTCTTAAGGTTTGTTTTTTTCTTTTTTTTGGTTGCACCACTGTTGTCTCATGTTGCTCTTTAGCACACGTATCTATTTTATTTCTATTCCACCCCAACTGCTAAGAGAAAGAATTTCCTGGGTCCCTGACTACACTGCATGGGACCAGGCACATAGCAGCTGCCTGCTGAGCTGGTGGAAAATCAAGGTCTTGGTTTATTTTTGACTTCTGAGTTCCTGTCACTACACCCAAGTCTGAGAAAAAAGAATATGGGATGGGAGAGCCTGGCTGGGCAAATGACAGGGCTGACCACTATCTCCCCAGTAGAAACCAAGCCACTGTGCTAACAGCCATTGGTCCCTGCAATCCTAACAGGCATGGAGAGGCTCTCGCCAGTCTCATTGCCTCTGGGAAGGAGAATGAACGTGAGGGAGCCGAGCCAGTGTGTGCGGCTCTGCCGCTGAGAAGCCAAAGTGGCCTCTGAAAGATTAATGGGGCACTTGGTTCTCAGCTTCTTAACAAGGGAGGAGGGAATCAGCTTTCTGAAAAATAGCAGCAGCTTTGGGCAGGGATCCCAGAGGAGGGGGTTGAGGGCCGCGGGATGGCTCCCTGGTCCTTTTCATCTCCCTAATCCTTGCTTTCTTTTTTCCCATAGTCTCTCACCAGCCCACTTCTCTTGCTTCCTCTTCCCATTTCTTCTTTAGTGTGTTGGCCTCTCCAAATGATTTCTGCCTTGCCTTTCAGATGGCCTGTCACCCAAGCTTCTTCCTGTTCTCATTCATCAGAAGCAGGAGCGCTGTGGATGGTGGAAAGACACAGACTTTGGAATGCAGCCTGGGCTTTCAGCTCACCTCTGCATCTTTCTAACATGTGTGCAATGGACATGGATTGTGTCTGTCTCCTTCTTTTGTGAATGGAACTCATATATTTCATCGTGGAAATGTCCTTCCCTGCTGAAGGTGATTCTGGTTGAGATGTCAATCAAGTGGCACCACCCACAACACCACAGTGGAAGGCATGTGATCAGAGCATGCAATCTCACTTGACTCAGTGAATGAGCCAAGGTGGCCAAGCAGAGCCAAGCAAAATGCTTCTGGAGGTCAGTATGGGCTACAAGCTGGAAGGACCATGGAAGCCTTTGGCTTCTGGGAGCCATCTTCCCTCCCCATGGAGGAGAGGCTTTCTGAGCATGAAGCCACACAGAACGAATCAGAGTCACAGACAGGGCATGGATAGAACCCCAGATCCAGGAAAAATGTCAGATCAACCCCTGCACCCGCATGTGTATTTTTTCATCACATAAGCCACGATGGTTTCGGTGGGGTTTTTTTTTTAAACCCTGGAACTAGTTTGTATGTGGTTTCTGTCACTTGTAACCAATGAAGCCTTAATAATCACACTGTGTGACTTTAGGCAACTCATTTAACTTTCCTGGAATCTCAGTTTTTTCACCTAAAAATGGACTCCCATCCCGCATGCCTCCATTTTAAGTGGGGGTGCATCCAAAGCAAATGTGTTCCCTTCTACTACAAAACTCAGCATACTTTCTTAGAGCTTCTGATGGCAGACTTGTCTCTCTCTAGACTGAGGGCTGAGAGATGTGTCTCATTTATCTTAGTGTTTCCAGCACTAAATTCTGAGACATAAAAGGAACTCAATAATTATTGATTCACTCCCATGTTTCCCTCTTCTTTTAGAAGTCAAATTATAGCCTCCTATTTGAAGCTCTTAATTTCTTCTATTTTTTTTTCTTTCCTGGGCCAAGTTTCCAGATGATTTCCCCTAGTCCTCCTGTGGGTAAGTTTTCTTACCTGGATACTTGGTATCCATGCAAGATATTTTGTATCTATGCAAAATTAGGATTATTAGTAATTGTGTGTCCAAGTGGTACGGTAAAGATCTGTTTCATCTCTCCTTGCCAGGGAAAGGGCATGTGGCCAACTGTGTCCACAAGTGACTAGTTGCTACAAGATTGCAAAGCTTTCATGGTCCAAAGTAATTGCTAGTGCAAGAATGGTGTCAAAGCAACAAGTTATATATAGACTCTATTCCTGTCCCCACCTCACCCCGCCAAGTCTGACTGTGCCATCTTGTCAAACAAGGGACATTTTCTATATTGCAGTTACCCTGGGACACGTCCACACAAATGCGCCATGATCCCGAGGTGAACGTGTGGCCGAGCAAACTCCCTTTCCCCTTTCTCCCCAATTCCAGGCCCTTCTTCTGGTTCTCTGGTTTAGGTGAATCACACCAACATTGTCCCAGGCACCAGGCCCTAACCTTGTGATCACGTTAAACTCCTTTCCCTTTGTTCCCGAGTCATGAACATTCCATCTCAAATCCATTCTCTTTTACTGCCATCACCCCAATTCAGGACTGCTTACCTTCCTGTGTTACTTTTGGGGTCCTCCATCTGTTACCTTCCCCACCAGTCTCTTTCCCATTCAGTCCAGCCCTTAAGTCCCTCACTCTGACACTTTCAGTGGCTCCCCGCCACCAAATGAATCAAGTAAAAATATTTCATGGTCAAATTCAAACTGCTTTTGCAAAATAGCTGCAGGCCAAATCTCTGGCCTCACTTACCTTTTGCTCCTGCTGGACTAGTTTACATCCTATACCTTGTCTGCTCTGCACTCACATTTGTCTGCTTTTTTAAAAAAATTTTTTAACACTTATTTATTTTTTTCTTTTGAGACAGAGTGAGTGGGGGAGGGGCAGAGAGAGAGGGAGTCACAGAATCCGAAGCAGGTTCCAGGCTCTGAGCTGTCAGCACAGAGCTTGATGTGGGGATCAAACTCACGAGCTGAGCAGTGAGCTGAGCTGAAGTTGGTTGCTTCACCAATACAGCCACCCAGGCACCCCAACATTTGCTCTGCTTCTATTTCTGCCTTGAATACCTTCTCTCCTGTTAGGAGCTAACTTTTACCATGACTAATTCTGATGTTGTAGAGATGGTTTCCCTTCCAGCCACCTCGACACCATGGAATTAACCCACGCATGAGGAAACCATTCTTGTTGCCTTCTGTTGCCTCAAGTTTTGTGAGTTCGATGGCTGGCTCTGCTTTTTCACCAGGTTTGACTCCAGATGGCAACTTGTTGTCTCCAAACATTCCAGTCATCCTCCTCATTAGATAAAGAATTTCCAGTCCTGAGAATCTTCCAGAATTATAGCTAGTGTTTAGTGAGTGTTTCCTCTGTGCCAGGATGAAAGTTTTCCACGCACTGTCTCATTAACTCCTCACAATCACCTTGTGAAGCAGACCCTGTGATTACCTTCAGCCAACAGCTGACTTCCTCTCAGGGACATTGCTAGAAACAGGCAGTGCTTCTGATTCTAAAGCCTGTGCTTCCCACTCAAAACATGCTACAGTTTCATACAAAACAAGCAAGGGGAGCAGGCATCGTCCATGCTAACTTTCTGGAGAAATCTCTTTGGTCAAAACTCTTAGCCTCTGAGGACGACCATTTTCCTGAGGAAGATTCATGCCTTCTACACTTCGTATATAAGACAATCTCACTGTTACATCACGGGCACATCTTATATGATCTTGTTTCCAAAAATAATTGTTTCATATTGCTATTTAAATGTAAGATTGATGGTCATGCCTAGGGATTCTGTTTTCCCTGTACCGTCCCCAGCTAAAGAAAACAAGCAAATACATTTCCCCTCTTAACCTGTCCCTGAAAACAAACACCGGGGCTAGTAGATAGACAATTCTCTGCTTATCGTTTCAGTGTTTAACCCCCTTTTTTTCCCCTAAAGTTACTTATTTTACAAAGACCTATAAATCATCAAAGTCTTTGACTCATGGATGCTCTCAAGTCCTTCAATCTTTCAGGTAATGCCTGTTTTTCATGTAAAATCAGACAGCTTGAGGCAGCACCCTTTGAAAATAACAGAAACTGGCCAGATGTCAGAAGTTTCCAGTAAAACAAAAAGCAGCTTGAGGAGGAATTTTGAATGCCTTTATATATGTTAATTATGGACCCTAAGGGTCAAAAAGAGGGAAGGGGAACTAAGCCAGAGGAGAGGAATATTATATGTTAGTCAGAGTGATACTTGCTTATGCTACGGTAGCAAACTCCAAGAGCCCGGGGACTTTCACATGAAAATTTGTTTCACTCACATAAAGTCCACTGCAAGACCCATCGCTCTCCAGGAAACTCCCTTTCAAGTGATGATTCAGGGAGCTAATATGCTTCTGTCTTGTGATTCCAATATCTCAACACATGGCTTCCGGGGTCACTGAGTGGGGAAAGAGAGAAGCAAAGAGTTAAGAAGGAGCTTTTCACTACCTCAGCCCAGAAATGATACATGTCACTTGTTTGTAGTCCTTTGGCCTAAACAGTCACAAAGCTGTGCCCAACCTGGGTGGCAACTCAAAAGTGTGGAAGAATTCCTGCATATTAAGTAAAGAGGAAGCGCTCTGCCTTGAGGGTAGGGTTCAGGTCAATTAATTTACTTTTAATGTACTTACTAGGCAATCTTTTAAAATGTATGAAACTTTCCTTTTTATACTTCTGTGCGTTCTACTGTATAAACTGAAGTAGAAGAAGAAAGAGAGAGAGAAAAGAGGTAGAAAAAGGAGAATAGTGATTTACTCTGTGACTTGGTTTTAGTCTCTTTGACAGACTACTTGAAATTTACATTTGTATCTCATTTTAGGGACCTCAGGACTTTTAAGAGAGCATCACAATGAGATACCACCTCACACCTGTCAGATGGCTAAATTAACAACTCAGGAAACAGCAGGTATTGGCAAGGTTGTGGAGAAAGGGGAACCCTTTGTATACTGCTGGTAGGAAGGCAAACTGCTATAAACATTCTGGAAAATAGTGTGGAGGTTCTCCAAAAACTTAAAAGATGGCGCTACCCTATGGCCAAGCAATTACAAGACTAAGTATTTATCCAAAGGATACAAAAATGCTGATTTGAAGGGGCACATGCACCCCAGTGTTTATAGCAGCGCAATCAACAACAGCCAAATTATGGAAAGAGCCCAAGCATCTGTCAACTGGTGAATGGATAAAGAAGATGTGGTATGTATACATACAATGGAATACTACTTGGCCATCAAATAGAATAAAATCTTGCTATTTGCAACAAAATAGATGGAACTAGTGTGTATTGTGCTAAGTGAAATAAGTTAGGCAGAGAAAGACAAATATCATATGATTTTACTCATATGTGGAATTGAAGAAACTCAACAGATGAACATAGGGGAAGGGAAGGAAAAATAAGATAAAAACAGAGAGGGAGGCAAACCATAAGAGACTCTTCAATACAGAGAGCAAACTGGGGTTGCTGGAGGCAAGGGGGTTGGGCTAGATGGGCAATGGGTACTAACAAGGGCAATTGTTAGGATGAGCACTAAGTATTGTACGTAAATGATGAGTCACTAAATTCTACTCCTGAAACCAATACTAAACGGTATGTTACTAAATTGAATTTAAATAAATAAATTGAAAAAAAAAAACAACAAAACCCAGCACCATAGAACAGTCTGACAACTAATATTCTAAGCCCAAATAGTTCATTCACTAATCTGTGACCTTGACCTCTCAAATGCTCAGCATACTCTGCAGCACATTGGAAATGATTTACGTGCTTCACTGAGTTATTGTGAAATTCACATTAGGTATCTGAAATGCTTACTAAAGTGCTCCCATCTCACTGTAAGTTCTAAAGAGTTTGTTGAATGACTGACTCTCCATGAGCAAATTAACTACTTCCTATTTAAAATAATATAAGCTGCTAACTTCACCATAATATGAAATATAAATGGTAGAAAAGATATAAGATCGTTTTAGTTGATCAGAATGTCATGGTTGGTAAATTCATTTTTTTTAAAAAAAATTTTTTTAATGTTTTTATTTATTTATTTATTCTGAGAGAGAGAGAGAGAAAGAGAGAGAGACAGAATGT